GAGATGACCATGGCAGCCAGCGAAGCTCCAAGGCTAACAGAAACCAGAGCTAACGTTAGCCCGTCTGCAGCAGCACAGTCTCAGCATAGCCGTGTGGGAAGTACCACTGGCTCTAATGGTTGTTCCTTCTGTTTCATTTGGCAAAGCATTCATTTGATTTGTGTTTATCTGACTGTGGTAATCATTATTCTCCTGATAAATAAAAGAGTCATAGTTTATCATTATCTGGACAAGTGGTCTCCAACCCTGGTCCTTTAGTTGCATCCTTGCTCCAAAACAGCTAAATCAAATGAATGGCTTTTTACCAAGCCTTTACATTGGGCAGCGTGCTTTCATGGGGGAACTGAAAAGCATGAAATAAAAAACAGGGCAAGTGATTCAAATATATTAAGATAGCTGCATGAAGTGAAATTTCTATTCAATTAGGTTTAATTAAAATTCTATATCTTATTAAGTCAATATACATTCATCATTTAGGAATTTTACATATTTTTGACTTAAATAAAGATAAAATTACCATTTTCTATAAAATCAGAATTAGAACTCAAGAAAAACTGATAAATTCAGCTTTAACAATTTGAATTTTTTTTTATTTGTTTTGAAAAAAACATTTAGCAGATAAAAACTGGGATCCTATCTCAATACCACTGAAGCTATTACCTTATTGTTTTGAGATAATTAATAAAACAGAATTTGTAAAGACAAAAAGAAAATAGATCCAAAAGACCTATCAGTAACCATGTTTGTTCCAGCGCATATCATCATAACAATTTCTTTGAGTATTATGTCTTCAATACAGGGCATGATCTAGGGCACTGGCCCCCGTTGGACCCTGTCTAGAACTACCCATGTTTACAAAACATGATGACATGCTAAAAAAGGTAATCAGTCATTTGATTGAGCTGTGTTGAAGCAGGGATGCATCTAAAACCTGCAGGACAGTAGATCTTGAGGAGCAGGGTCGGAGACCACTGATAGACTATTATTAACAGGAGGTTAAATGCAGCTCCAAAGTAGCTTTGAATGTGGTGATGTCATGAATGCGCTTCTGTTCCAGTTGACAGAGATTTATTTAGCGTACTCCTCTTCTCACGGAGCCCATACTTTCCTGAGAACATGCTTGGTGAGACTAGTCTATACTAGTGTTCTTGTGAATTGAGAAACAGCCAATGTTTCCAACATTTTTAATATCTCTGTGATGCAAAAACAGCCTACTGATTGTATTTACAGGCCAAATCAGATGGGAGTAGAGATAGGTGTCCAGTGCCAAAAATTCAGAAAATGTCTAAAAGATGGCCATGCAAGGCAATGTTGACACTGTGGCCGCGTTAAGAATTAACCAACCTTTATGGTCTCCGCTTTTGCATATTTTACCATGGTTTGTCCACAGGCCTCATAACCTGGTGTTTTAGGAAGTATGTCCATTGATCTCAACCATTTGAACCTTTACATGCAACACCAGAGTTCAAAACAGGGTGGTGGGTGACGTGTTGGAGGACCTGCTCCATGTACGGAGCAACATCAGCCATTGATGGAAGACCATAGCCCAACTAGAAAAGGGTCCCGTTCAGACAGCAAAACCAGAGAGTATAAAGGTGAAACACTGGTCAGCACAGTGGCAGCTTCTAAAGTCCAAAGTTTGGGAGAGAAGACAGGAACATTCAGAGCCATCAGCATATCATGAAGCCCCTGCTCACTTGCAGGACATCATCCCGCGAGTTTCCATGGGTCTCAGAAGCCCTTTAAGTGGAAATGATGGCTGCTTTTATTTCCAGGAGATGTGACATCATGGCCTGTTCTCAAAAAAGCGCTTAGAGGAAATCTGTTGTCCGTAATATTGTTGTTCTGTCAAAGACAACGTTTCTGAGACGCGGAATGAGAAGACGTAGAAGTTCCAATCAGCTCTAGCTGTTGTTGTCCTTCTTGAGGTGACATCCACTGAGACCATGTCTAACAGGTGATACAATAAAAACCTTTCTACGTACAGATATTCTTTTCCATCCAAGTAAGGAAAAATTAGAGCAGATGGTTAAATAGAGACATAATATGACAAAGAATCCCTCTTCTAAACTGAAAATATGTTTTGACCTATAGTCACCCCATATGATATCATGAAGTTATAATTCTGCCTTTATATAAATACTCATAGGAGCAGTTTCATGTAAAACACACGCATGTAAACTACTCTGTGAGTGCATATTGAAAGTCTTATACATCCCATATCATAGGTTCATGCTCCTTCTCTAAGGCTTTCTTTTCATGCACCCATAGATTCTTTCTTACTAGTGTGGATCTGTTTCGGTGCACTCGTCTCAACTTTTGTCACTTTGAGGGTGAAACCAACCCGGGAAAATAATCTGCCTGTGATTGGTTACTCTCCAGGAAATCCTGCCTCCACATCTGGGTCACCATTGATGGTGCTTAAAAAAGAGTGAAATTACTTATTTTTCCAATGTTTCAAAAGGTTAATAATTTATTTTCTAAGAGAAAGACGTGTTTAGATCCTTACAGTTACATCACTGTTCTGTTCCCAATCTGTTCCAGGAATGGGATCCTTCCCTAATTCAGGCACCACTTTTTACAGCTTTAAGCTGTAGACAGATATAGCTGAATATCATCAGCATAACAGTGGAAATGAATCCCATGCTGTAAAATAATTCCACTGATAGGAAGCATATATATACAACTTTTTTTTTCTTTCATGGTATATAGTTCCTAATCTAAAGAAAGACACCACTAAAACGCAGGTAACGTGTAATATTTTGCAGACTGCTCTGAGCATGTCTGTTGATGAAATCAGATTAGCAATATGACAGAGAGGTAAAACACATCCATTTCAGAGAAGTCGTATAAGTTTTATAAGGTCCAAGTCAGCATTATTTGATAGTTTAGGGATAGAAATAAACACTTCCACTACTGTAATATTACTTATGGCGACCTGGGTTAATATCTGTTTACACATGTGAAAATGAGCCAGTTGAGGTGGCTTGGGCATTTGGTAAGGATGCCTCCTGGAGGCCTCTGTTGTGATGTGTTCCAGGCACGTCCCACCGGGAGGAGACCCGGGGGGAGACCCAGGACATGCTGATAGGAAGAAGACAGTACTGTCCGAAGAGGTGAGACTTTCTCCTGATTTCCTTTTTTTGTCTATCACAGGCAGTGCACTCTCTCAGGTTGGTTTCTTCCTCAAATTTAATAAAAAGGTGACGTGAGCAGGTACAGCAGTGGTGAAGGGATTAATCACGCACAGAGTCTTTGGTCCATCACAGGTTCACTTCACAGGCTGTTGATTATTGCTCTATGTCCTATCTGCTTACTTTCACAAAAAAAATTTTTTTTTAAAAAGGCCATATAGCCTAAAATATAATCTTAAAGGAAAATTTGGTCAGCAAGGAATAATCAATGGATCATTATTTATATCTAAAACTAATACATTCTCAGTGATTTAACGACTTTAGTGTTGATCAATAAAATATACAAACAATAATTTTGGTTGCGATCACTAAGTCTCGGAGCGGCCATTTTTGTCCTAATATAGTAACCCCTCCCTCCTGCCATCTTCCAGCAGTGACGTCACGGTGCGGTAAGCCTAGCGCCATTCTCCCCGCTTTACAAGCAGAATCAATGGGAACTACTAGACACATCTGCAATCAACAACAATTATTGAAGATTTCCAGAGGACTTCACCATTGAAATTCACCAGAGCTATAGTGAAACTGACAATATCCACGTGCATGGCAGCTGGATGTTGGAATACATCGGGTAAAAGTGAAAAAGAGTTATTTCACCTTTCTGATTCCTGATCCTCCACGGACGGGTTGGTCGTTGGATCGCCAACTTGAAGAGGGAGGATTTGCCATCGAACTTCTGGCCAGAGAAAAAACCCGTAATATGTAGCCAACATTTGGAAGAAGAATGTTTTCAAGATGACTTGGATAATAGCGCGTTGTGACAAACACCAGATACAGCACTGGGACTTGATCAACAGCCGATACCAAACCGTGACATCACAAACCAGTAGGTGGCAGTAGTGTTCTTTGACAAACATGGATGCCTCCAGTAAAGCACATTCTAATGAAAATTTATTTATTTATTAAACAGTATGAAATAATTCCAGAAGTTTGAATTTTGAATATGACCAGACTTTTCCTTTGAAAAGTATGGAAGGATCTGAAGGCACGTCGAGAAGGAGCATGCACTCATGTTGCCATGTACGGAGGACCCATGCATATTGAAAATGTTCAAAACGAGCATGGAGATTAGTTTAGTTATGTGTGTTTTAAATAAAACTGCTTGTATGAATATTTACAACACCTGGGCTTCCTGGGTAGAATTCATCATATAAGCGACTTCAGAGCAGAAAATATAATTAATGGAGCGCTGAACCAGGCACTCAATTAACCATTATACCCATGCTGATGTGGATCCCTCCCAGATTGATTCAAGGTAAAAAAAAAAATTGTATCCATCTGTGATTATGATAACTTTTTAGGAATAATTACCTCATCAAGCAGCATTTTAATAGAGAGAAATAATCCTTTTAGAAATATCACCAAATTACTCCTTTACATTTTGAGTATTTCTCAGCACAGATGTAGGGGACTCTAATAATTCTAATAACATGTCTATATAGGAAATCTGAAGCTCAGTTTATATGTTTGGCTACAGTTTAAGCACTCTGCTGTAAAGGAAGATCTTTAATTACTTAAACTCTGTGAGTTGAAGCTGTTATGAATGAGTTATTAGCTTATTTCATTCACTCATAACAATCCTGACTTCTTAAAATATTGTTGTTTCATTTTAAGAGTTTTTCTACCCTTTGATGAATTTAATTCAGCTGTAAAATATTAATAATTTATCATGATTGATCAGCACATTTTCTGAATATTAAATACACATTCAAAAACATCATCAGGCATGGCAACAATCGTAGATTTAACAAAAAAAGGCTTGTTTTCGGGCTGCAGTGTTTTTCATGGTTATATATACATGTTCTACGGTTTCCATATATTTGTTTATTAACATGAACTTTCTTGGGAGCCTGAAGGGTTTTGGTTCATGCAAATGGAAAAAAAAACATCTTTGATCCCATTTTAAACGGACTGGTGAACCGATCCCAGCGTCAGAAACCTCCCTATGGCGAATGAACACCAGGAACCCAGAAATCATATCCACTTCAGAGCTCTGAGGAAATGTGGGAGCTGGCGTGGGCGGGTTCCAGGCCCTGCAGTACAGAGAGGTCTCGCTCTCTGCCGGTCACTCCAGGCCGAAAGTGCTGGTTTCCTCCACTGCGACCAGCAGCTTCTCATACAGCGTGGTGTAGGAGGGGTATGGGGGCAGATCCAGGCGGTTAAAACAGGTGTGAGCCCTGAGAGGGTGAGAGAGATCAGGCTTTTTATCCACCCAGAGGAACAACCAAAAAGGTTAGAAAACAATCCACTGGACTCCGCTTCCAAATTTGTAGACATTTCGCTTCCCTTCCAGGAAGCTTTTTCAATCCATAATGTCAGGAATAGCGTTGAGTAAAAGGCTTTATACAGAAGCCCAACTAAGCCTTGTTATCATCTCCACAGACGCCTGGCCCAACACAGAAGAGTGAACTCCTCAGGACGAGACTGGGCCGTACATCTACACCTTATGGACAAATGACATTGTTTTCAGGAGCATGTTCACATTCTGGACAAAGAAGACAGGGGGTGTGAGAGGGGCGTGAAGGAAGCCATCTACGTTAAGAAAGAAAAACCAACCTTAAACAGAGGGGGGGGACAGATTAAAGCTTTCACAAACCTACAATGCAGAGATAGAGTTGATCCCTTCCTGCTATCATTGCAGCCCCAACCCCTTTACAGGCCAACAACTCCATTCACCCGCCTTTCAGAGACATAGACAGGTATGGGGCATTGCAGGCTAACAGAGAAGCCAAACGATCCCCATTCCAAAGGGGTGGACCCGTTCATCTGTTTCAGTTTGCATGTTTTTTTTAAACAAAAGCAATAAAACCTAGAACTCCACGCTATGTCGAATTGAAAAAGCCTTAGGATTGCAGAGACGCAATCCTAAGGCCACCAAAACGGATCCCCTCAACACCTTGGCTGCGCCTAGAAATTCTGTCCATGAAGGTAATGAACAGAATCGGTGACAAAGGGCAGCCCTGGCGGAGTCCAGTGGATTGTTTTTTTTTACTTTTGTGGAATGACTATGTAGATGGCCCCAAGATGGCGCCACCATATTACGTCAGCGCCCATAGGTTAAAGCAATCGATGCCGGGTCTACCCTTATAACAGGTCTATGGTTACCAGATCCTAATAAAAACAAGAAAAGAAGCAAAGCGACGAAGAAACATCAGTCAAACCTCTGAGGGTCGGTGCTAAAGGAAGCAAAGGGGAAGGTGTAGACGTGGTTGCTTATTTTTTTCTGAACTGTTAAAATGTTTACTAATGCAAACCAAACTGTTAAGTGGGAGGACCAAACTTGATCTGGGACCTTTACAGTATTTGAAGTGATAAATTGTTCACCTTCTTCTGAACAATCATTGAAATAAAAGAACATCTAATTTTATTTATTTAGGGAAATCCAGCCCCCCTATCCGCCGCTGACCTACCTGGGGAGGGAGGTGACTTTACCCCACTTCTCAATGCAGAAGCGCCTCATGCCGTTGGAGCCCCTCAGGGCGGCGAAGCCCTCGTACGGCACGCTGGAAGTTCCCGTGACGAACTGCAGCAATCGTAGCCGCTGCTCGTTGGTGAATCTTTCCACCGCTGCCCAGAACCACCGCATCACGATGTGGCTGTCATGGTAACCTAGCAGGGAGAAGCACATACTGATTTATTCCTATAAAGCTTGTATGGGAGCCATTTAACACAGGGCCTGTTTCTTCACAATTGTGTCCTAATCTCCTTTAATCCACCCCATATGGTGGCATATGGAGATGCTGATTGGGCAGCAGGTATAATTAAAGCTCCCTCTAGTGTAGACGCAGGTAATTGCCCTGAGGTGTCCCTCCACTCTTTGCTCTGTGGACCCTTACCTCCTCTGTATTCCGTGTTGCTCCTCCAGTCGCTGAGATCGATCTCCACCGTGCCGGCGATGACCAGCTCCAGCTCCCGTGCATCAAACACAGACACCAGTCTGGAGTCCACCACCTTTGTGAAGGAACATGGAGTCAGTCCATGCTGGAAACCAACCACTCCACTTCGCCACAATTCTTTTTGTGTTGTGTGCTTTAAAATCCTGCTTTGTTTGTAAACGAAAGCGATATGCTGGTGAAGATTCTCAGTCACTCAGTTCATAGTCATTCCCAAAAAAAAAATAATCCCCTGGACTTTGTTTCCAAGTTTGAAGACGTTTCGCGTCCCATCCAGGAAGCTATTTCAATTCAAAATGTCGGAAATAGCGTTGAGTACCAGGCTTCATACAGTAGCCCAACAAATCTTTCCGATATTTTCAATTGAAAAAGCTTCCTGGATGGGAAGCGAAAAGTCTTCAAACTTGGAAACAAAGTCCAGGGGATTGTTTTTTTTTACTTTTTTAGAAAGTAAACAACAGCAGTTAAAAAGAACACAGAGACTCCAAGCAAAGAGACTAAATAAAAGGGCCAAATGATGTTCAGATGAGTGCTGTTCCAGTGCTGCTCTGAGTACGATACGAACGCTGAAGTTCACTGAAGCTGCCAAGTTGTTGGATTTGTTTTGCCTGCGGATGGCAACGCATACAGCAACATTTACTGTGGGTGGCTTGCTGTATACTTTTTTTTCTCAACGCCGACATGGTTTCTAGAGTTACTTGTTTAAGCAGGAATAGGTGGCGACACTGAATCACATTTGAGTTCTATTCGACAGAAGGTGGTTCCTCTAGGTCGTGCCATTTAACAATAATTGAGTCAACGGGGATGATCACACCCGACGGAAGCCTCGATTAAAATAGACCCCAGGTCTATTTTAGTTGGACTAGTGCAGCAATTCCGTGGCAAATGCATTCAATGAACAGCGTTCACTGAATAATTATTATGTTGGTAAATGGTTAACTGAAAGGATCAGTTTTGAAGTAATGACCTTGAACAACAGTGACGTTCACTCTGAGAACAATGAGCGAGATAGACAGATCATGTTCGCGTTCCATTGATAACATTTTCCATTGGATAACGTCAGGTTTTACTGCACGTATTACAGCGAACAAAGGAAGACTGGGACAAAAAAAAAAAAGATTTTTGGCCAAACTAAGCCCACCAGGACTTAAAGATATAGTGGCAGATTTTTGCAAATTTTTTACAAGACCCGACCTTTACACTTGAAAAAAAAAAAATTTACATACAACCCTGTACCTGCTCCTGAGAGGGAACGCCTATTACACACGTGCGCATGCGTGCACGAGCCCATTTCTCCTCGTGTACGCTCTGTTTAAAAGTTGCTGTTTGCATCGCTCACAGCTTACTTTCCAAAAGAAGATTTGCAATTTTTCCACTACGTCATTCTAGTGACTACAGACAAGCGCATAGGACGGCCTTATGTAAACATAAACCCAGAATGATTGACAATTAGGAGGATTGCACATCTAGTAAACCTTGACTGCATCCAGGATTTTCCATTTCTTTCTATATATCATGATCACACATTTAAAGGATAAAATATGAGCTTCTATTGTGGAGGATATTGGCTTAATTTACCAGATGAACTTGAACTTGTTTATTTATAGGTTTGGGAACTTATTTTAGTTTTTAAAAAGTTAACTATAAACGTGAACTAGTTCATTTTCAACTGTGTGAACTGAACTTTAAGCTCGTTCTTTCTGATTATGAACCGGTACAACACTGGGTAATTTCATGGGTCTGACAGCAAGAAAGACGCGATTACAAAGTACAGAAGCATCCATTCAAAATAGTCCTTCTGTCATGATGGGTTCTCAAATGGAGACCCAAGTATGCAGAACACCACTGACGGACACGAGGATGAAAAGTTTAACAAGTTTATTTGCACACACACAGAATGTACAGATGACTGGTTCGGGCCTGGGTTCTGGTTTCACCGGAGTCTGCGTGAGAGACAGAGCAGTTATGGACTGAAGACAGGATTTGATTTCCAAAGGAGCTCCTATTGTCCCTTGAGGGTTCTGGAGGTTCTCTTTGGGAGAGTCACTGTTGGTTCTGGAGAAGGGTTTATCAGCAGAGTCCGTTTGCTGCTTCAGCGTCTCACGTCTAGCTTGAACAGACCTTGGCTTTGGTTTCCCAGCTCTAGTCCAGAGCTGTTTGGTGGTTCTCAGAGAATCTTCAGGGTTTGGCTCAGAGGGTCGGCTCGGCAGGTTAGCTCTTCTTGAGCTCTCTCGGAGGAGACACGAGTTTCCTGGAAACACAGTGACAGTGGTTAAGATCCAACCAGGATTCAGAGTCATGGAGATTTACACAAAGATCTAGGCTTTAGTACTGACCAACTGGAACAACACTGCGGCGTTGAGGCAAGGTCTGAAGACAGCTTATATAGTGGATCCTCTGATGATCTAGATGAGCTGCAGCTGTGCAGGAGGCTCCCTCAGAGGAACCACGGCGGACTCTGCTGGAGAAAGATGGGATTTTCTCCAGCTCCCAACAGTACCCCCCCCTCAACGACCGCCCCTTGGCGGTCCGGAAGAGGTAGATGGGCAGGAACGCTCGTACTCCTCGATGAGCGCAGGGTCGAGGATGTACGAGCCTGGGACCCACTGACGATCCTCTGGTCCGTAGCCCTCCCAGTCGACGAGGTACTGCCATCCGCGACCTCGTCGACGGGAGTCTACGATGCGGCGCACTGTGAAGGCCGGGTGGCCATCGACCTCCAGGGCGGGTGGTGGGGAGTCGGACGGTGGGCACAGAGGACTCGAGGAAACAGGCTTGATCTGGGAGACGTGGAAAGTAGGGTGGATTCGGAGGGACTGGGGAAGTTGAAGACGGACAGCAGAAGGATTGATGATGCGTGTGATCTTGTAGGGTCCTATGAATCTCGGGGAGAGTTTTCGAGACATCCCTGTCTCGAGTGGAGAGCCACACCTCCTGGCCCACAGAATACTCGGGGGCAGGACGTCTCTTGGAGTCGGCGAAACGTTTGACTGATTCGGATGACTGGTTGAGTGCGGCGATGGTCTCCCTCCAAATCCTCTGACAGCGACGGATGTGTTGATTTACGGACAGCACCGATATCTCTCTCTCATCTGCAGGAAAAAGAGGTGGTTGGTATCCGAGACTGACCTGGAAAGGGGACTGTCCAGTGGATGCAGAACGGAGGGAGTTGTGAGCATATTCTATCCACGGGAGGTATTGACTCCAATCCACGGGGTTATTGGAAGTGAGACAGCGGAGGGTGGATTCCAGTTGCTGGTTCATTCGTTCTGTCTGGCCGTTAGATTGCGGGTGGTAACCTGAAGTGAGAGAAGGTTGGCAGCCGAGAGCAGAACAGAAAGCCTTCCATACCTGTGAAATGAATTGTGGACCTCTGTCCGAGAGGATTTCCTGGGGGATGCCATGAAGCCGGAAAACATGTTTAATTAGCAACTGGGCAGTCTGAAAGGCCGTGGGAAGTTTCCTGAGGGGAACTAGATGACAGGACTTCGAGAAACAATCAACAATGGTTAGTATGGTGGACATACCTCGGGAGACAGGGAGACCGGTGACGAAATCAATGGCTATATGGGACCACGGACGCGAGGGAACAGGAAGTGGTTGAAGCAGGCCTGAAGGAGGTTGGTGTGAGGCCTTGTTGCGGGCACATGTGGGGCAAGCCAACACATACTCCTTAACGTCTCTGTGGAGTGTGGGCCACCAGAAACGCCTGGAGATGAGAGCAACTGTCCTACTCACTCCTGGATGAGCGGTGAATTTGCCGGCATGCATCCACTGGATAAGACGGGACCTGACAGAAGATGGGACATATGTACGGTTAGGCGGACCGGTACCTGGATCTGGTTCAGTGGCTAGGGCAGAATTGATGAGGTCAGTTATCTCCCAGTTGACCACTCCTATGGTACATGAAGCAGGGAGGACTGGTTCAGGTGTCTCTGGATGTTCGACGGAGTAGAGACGAGAGAGAGAATCGGGCTTCACGTTCTTGGATCCGGGTCTGTAAGAAATGATTAGGTTAAAACGAGAGAAGAAGATTGACCACCTGGATTGGCGAGGGTTTGCCTGCTTTGTTGACTGGATGTAAGCCAGGTTTTTGTGGTCTGTCCACACAAGAACCGGATGCTCAGCTCCCTCCAGCCAATGCCTCCATTCTTCCAACGCCAGTTTTATAGCCAGGAGCTCACGGTCACCCACGTCATAGTTTTGTTCAGCTGAAGAAAGTCTACGGGAGAAGAAAGCACATGGGTGTATTTTTTGATCTGAATCGAGCCTTTGGGAGAGAACCGCTCCAACCCCGGAATCTGAAGCATCAACCTCTAGGATGAACTGTTTAGCTGGATCTGGTTGAATTAGGACAGGTGCTCTGGAAAACAAGGATTTTAGTTTTTCAAACGCTGTCTGAGCCTTGGGAGTCCACTGAAAAGTTCGTTTAATGGAAGTCAGCGAGGTTAAAGGAAGGGCTGTTTGACTGTAGTTTCTTATGAAACGACGATAGAAGTTAGCGAACCCTAAAAACCTCTGTAGCTGTTTTCGGTTCTCAGGAACTGGCCAGTCTAAAACTGCTTTGATCTTGTCCTCGGAAGGTCTTACCTGGCCGCCCTCGAGCACAAACCCCAAAAAGGTGACTGAAGATTGATGGAATTCACACTTCTCGGCTTTCACGAACAGCTTATTCTCCAGAAGTCTCTGTAAGACAAGACGAACATGTTTCTTGTGTTCTTGGAGGTCCTTGGAATAAATGAGAATGTCATCGATGTACACAAAAACAAACACGTTGACGAAATCTCTGAGAACATCATTGACTAGGGCTTGAAAACAGGCAGGAGCGTTTGTTAAACCGAAGGGCATCACCAGGTATTCGAATTGACCCAAGGGAGTCTTAAAAGCAGTTTTCCATTCATCGCCCTCTCATATCCTAAGGAGATGATAGGCGTTTCTTAAGTCCAGCTTGGAAAATACTGTTGCACCCTGTACAGGTTCAAAGGCAGAGGCGAGAAGAGGGCGTGGGTATTTATTTTTAATGGTGATCTGGTTCAAACCTCGATAATCAATACAAGG